AACACGCCTGGCTAATTTTTGTATTTTTAGTAGAGACGCAGTTTCACCATGTTGGCCAGGGTGGTCACAAACTCCTAACCTCAACTGATCCACCCGCCTCAGCCTCCCAAAGTGCTGAGATTCAGGCGTGAGCCACCGTGCCCAGCCATTAAGTTAATTCTCAATAGGATATTCTGTACTTTTCATTTGATTCACTGCATATTTTTGTTTTCCACATAGCCTTTATTTTATTTATTAAAGTAGAGACAGGGCCTCACTAGGTTTCCCAGGCTGGTTTCAAGCTCCTGGGCTCAAGTGATCCTCCCGAGTCGGCCTTGGGATTCAGGTGTGCGCCACCACGCCTGGCCCTAAGGAGTATTTACATCATTTTTGAAATTGGGACTGTTTCTGTCCCTCCAGCGTGGGTTTCCTCCATCTTCCCTCACTGATCTCATGGCGTCTCTTTTCTCCGTCCTGATTTCTCTCGTGCAGGAGCTGCTTACTTCGGTTTATGCGCCAGAATGAGCATTTGCTGAGCGTGGATGAGCCCCTCTTCCGATCCTGGTTTAGTCTGCTACCTCTGAGTCACCTGGTTCCGTATATGAAAAACTTCATTGAGCACCTGGGTCATTTTCCTGCTCATGTCCTGGACTGTTTTCTAGGAACTTACTACCGCCTGCGGGGACTTCAGAAAATCTCCTTCCGGAATATGCAGGTTTGTTTCTGAAGTTGGCTCTGGAGTCCTGGCTTAGCGAAAGCAGACTAGATATTAAACATGGAGCCGTCAAGATTCTTATTCCTAAAAAACAGACAGTGGGCTGGGCGCGGTGGCTCACACCTGTAATCCCAGCACTTTGGGAGGTCGAGACCATCCTGGCTAACACAGTGAAACCCCATCTCTATTAAAAATACAAAAAAAGTAGCCAGGCATGGTGGTGGGCACGTGTAGTCCCAGCTACCCGGGAGGCTGAGGCAGGAGAATGGTGTGAACCCGGGATGCGGAGCTTGCAGTGAGCCGAGATAGCGCAACTGTAGTCCAGCCTGGGCTACAGAGCAAGACTCCGTCTCAAAAAAAAAAAAAAAAAGAAGGTCTTATGTGATGTACTTCATAGCTGCCATTTTTCCTTTCACATTTTTTGGTGGAGAAAATGGTATAAGTGTAAATCCTGAGTTTTATCTATAAAAGAGGTAAGATTAGTATGTGAGCACCTTAAAATTTGTTTGTAGGAAGGAAACAATGTATACCATACTGATGTTGGATTTTTTTCAGCTTTATTTTAGCAATGACAATGGTATTGTGATTCAATCTTCTGTCCCGTTTTTTTTTTTCTCTGCCTTAGGATGTTCTGAACATTTTAAAAATGCTGTTGCACCTCCTGGACACTTACCAGGACAAGTAAGTGGGAAGCACAATGCAGTCTGTCCCTCACATGAGACCCCCAGGGGCTTCCTGTGACCCTTACGATTGGCCGCGCCCCACATTGGCTGTTGTAACAGCAACGTCATAAATTAATATGTGATCCACTTCTCTTCTCAGGTTATTAATGTAGTCGTCTTTTTTTGTTTTTCGTTTTTTTTTCTAGACAGAATCTCACTCTGTTGCCCAGGCTGGAGTGTAGTGACGCGATCTCACCTCACTACAACCTCTATCTCCTGGTTCAAGTGATTCTCCCAGCTCAGCCTCCCGAGTGGCTGGGATTACAGGCACACCCACCATGCCCAGCTAATTTTTATTTGTTTGTTTGAGATGGAGTCTCTCTCTTGTTGCCCAAGCTGGAGTGCAATGGCGTGATCTTGGCTCACTGCAACTTCTGCTTCCCGGGTTCAAGTGATTCTCCTTTCTCAGCCTCCTGAGGAGCTGGGATTACAGGCACGTGCCACCATGCCCAGCTAATTTTTGTATTTTTAGCAGAGACAGAGTTTCACCATGTTGGACAGGCTGGTCTCGAACTCCTGACCTCAAGTGATCCGCCTGTCTCAGCCTCCGAAAGTGCTGGGATTACAGGCATGAGCCACCATGCCCGGCCCTC